CGACCTCACAATACACACACTAATGTGTGACCTGCTTAGGATAATAGAGGAAATCACCAACACGGTGACAGACAACTTATGGACTAACCGCGAAGACTGTGAGGTCGCCAGAACCTTATGACCGAGGTTGGATAAAAATAAAACGAAAAGCCTTTTAGGCTTCAGCAAACCTGCAGTTCGTGTGCTTACTGGAGTACTAACGGGGCACTGTGCCAACTCGCCTCTCCCGGCAAAACTATTCGAGGGCATCACAATGGGCAATATATGCCTCCGAGTGGAAGTGCACACAATTGGCAGCACGCGCCTTCCGAACCTAACCTAACCATGAAGCAGCAAAAACTAAAAACAAAATACAGCCACTTGACCAAGTGCATAAAAAAGCCTGCTTAAAGAGACAAGCGAGCATGGGTAGACAAGCTCGCCCAAAACGCAGAAAACACTGTAGCTATAAGTGACAGAAAACGACTGTATGAGATTACTCGAACTTTCTCGGGGAGAGAAAGTAGCAGCAGAAAGGCAGCGTGCCTTCTCTTTTTGACAAACGAAAGAGAACAGATGGATCGCTGGACTCAGTACTTTAGAGAAGGATGAAATGCGCTTTGCTGATATGCTCAATTATCTCAACAGTATTGATATGTCACTGCAATTCAGAACTAAAGTTATTGCGGCAATGAAGGATCTTAAAAACAATAAATCACCCGGTATTGATAACATTTATGCTTAATTTCCCAAAAACGACCCCAGCATGTCTGCAGATGTGTGAATGCCCGTCTTTCACCAAATGTAGGAAAATGAAGTATTTCTAGATGACTGGAATCAGGACATACTTCTCAAAATACCAAAAAATGTGACTTAAGTAAATGCGATAACTATAAAGGTATTATGCTTTTACCTATTCCAAGCAAAATCTTCACAACTATTTTTTTCAAATGTATGGGTTATTCGTGGAACACAATATGCACAGAAGCAAACAATTGAGTGAAATTTAGAAAAATAGTTGAGACCCTATGGTTCATTGGAAGAAGAGGACTGAATTGACGAATTCAAAAAATATCAGGTATTCGAGAACTCAAGACAATTAAACGAGCTTTGTAACGCTTCAAGGATTATTCATTGGGTATTCTTTGGATAAGATAATGAGGTACTTCTGAAGGTAGAGAACTAGAGTAACTACTGAAAAAACAAAAGCTATGTTCATTACAAAATGAAGAAATCAAAATCTAAAGAAAATAAAAGTCAATAATGTAATGTAAGTCAATAAGGGGAAGATAATGTAAAATATTTAGGTCTAGCTTTTGACAAAAGATACACTTGGTTAAAGAATATAAAGGTCAAGAAGCTGGCTTGTAATAAAACTCTAAATGCTCTAAAATTTTTAACACAAGAAAATTAAGTATGAAAAATAAAATTCTGTTTTATAAGCAAATAATTAGACCTATACTTATGTTGCTCCATCGATGACTCCATTAGATAACTTCAAACTTATCAGAATATTGCATTGAGATGTATGCTAAAAATTCAATGGTACATTAGAAATGAAAAGATAAGTGCAAAAGTAAGACAGAGCGCTGAAATTGTTTAGTTCTGTGGATACTCACAATAGTTCAGAATTGCACGCTCTTAAATCAAATGCAATATATATTTCATCTGAAAGATATGCTGTCTGAATAACTCATTATTAGAATTCAAGCTCTTTTTACAATGAGAGATGAAAGCGACAATGCAGAAATACCTAAAGAAAAAACGTTTGAACGTCCTTCTGTATACGTAAGAAAAAGAAACTCCAATGCTTCGGTAAATACACCTACGTATTTCATAGATAATGAAAATATCTTTATTGTACCTATCAGAAAAGGCATGATAAAAGAACATGTTTTAAACAATGACCATTATAGAAAAGTGACAGCTAATTTAGAGATTTCTACACCTATTAAGTAAAAAGTAGCAAGGCATTAATAGTACATAAAAGAATGGAGGTAGAAGTAGATACTTAAAAAATGCAGAAAGTGGTAGAGAAAAAAATTTTGAATTAAAAAGTCTATTCAACATTTTAAACATACCGTGAACTTGAGCTATATCCTAATGTAATGAAGCTGAAAAGCGGTGGAGTCCATCACACATATTTATTCACCTCACTTTTTTCCATTTTTTTTATAATTATTTTATTTTATTTATAGATACCTGAAGCATCTTGAGGCAGCGATGAGGACGTTAGTCACATACCATGGAACATTTATCATTTCTTGTAGAATCTGAAAATATAACCTTTGATAAGTATTGATTTTGGATGTTGAAGATGTGCCCTACAGCTAGATGCCGTATGTCCATACTGGTTTTACCACATTTTTGTATAAAATAAGCTTATTATTGAAAAAAATTGAAGATATCTTGTTCAGCAGTCAATGCTACGGCTTTAATTCCCAAGGGATTTTATATTCTGCACTTTTTTTGCGGAATAATTATTGTTAGAGTAATTTTGAAAACCCAAAAAATAAACATGTTTTAAATGGCGCTTGCTGAAGTTTTTGAACCTCAAGGGGTTTTTAAGTACAGGCTTACAAATATGTCCGTTGATTCCAAGCTAGTTCAACCAGCAGTTATGAAAATTACAGAAAAAAATTAATCAGAACGAACTACATGAATTTCCGACAGAAAAGTATCTACAGCAAATGACACCTTCATGGCGACCTCCATAGTGGCAGAAGACCTATCTGGCCTCATTAACCTAAATAAAAGCGAGATGACACTCAATAGCAGAGTATTAGTAGCGGTTCTTCTTTCCCTCATAATAATGTATTAATCAGGAAATTAACTGGATTTTTTCGAAACTAGCTGTTGTTTAGTTGATTGGTCAATTTGATTATTCCGAAGGTTTATGTTGGTTATATTAAACTCTTCGCAGCTCTTTAAGATTTTCTTCGCGATGTAGTTCTTTTGGGCTTTACTTTCTCCGCTCTTGTACTGTAGAAGAACTTATATAGAAAACTTAGACTAAAAATAAAAAGGCCATTCTTATTTAAATACAAATGTCTTTATTGATAACCTCTGGAATGATATAACTTGTGTATTGTACATATATAAATACCTTAAAAAACTAAGCAAGTTGCCATTATATAATATAAAATGATTTATATTAATTTTATTAATATTGCGAACTAGGCACAAGCTTCATACACTTTAGTGTTAGGTATTGTTACTTCTCAAACATATATACATACCTATGTATAAATCTGAGATTTCACCTCAGGTTAACCTTACCAACTTCAACTAAGCGTATTTACATTAACAATAACGCTAGTTTCGAAGCGTTTTTCATTGATATTAATATTGATATTATTTATTTAAATGTAATATATAAAAATATGGTCTCATTTATTCAAAAATTAAAGCAATTTAAACCAATATTCTGAGCTGGACTTATTCTGCATTTTGCTGCAATAGCCATATGCATACATTATTTAAAATATATATTTCCTGCTGTTATTTATATTTGAAAATACAAATTATATTTTTAATTGCACTTGTGTTTCTCCGCTTTACATCTATGTTGCTAATTTCTCATGTTAATCTTTTTGAAATTATAAAATATATTTTATAAATAATATTTACACTTAATGATCAGTTCATTATCATACGACGTATGCGATTATTGTATAGCTAATTTTTTGTTATGGTTATGTTAGGGTTATGTTATGGTTATGTTATGGTGATAGGTGACATATTACGCATATCTCGCAGACACATAAATTTTTTTATTCAGACAGTGGCAACTTAAAGAATAGATGAGTGCATTTCATAAAAATATGCTTGGAGTTAATGAATCATGTACTTGTATTTAGTGATATCGAAGGAAGGCTTTATTAGAAAAATTATATTCATCTTAGGAACATATGCTCAATTGTGATTAACGCACAAAAGACTTGTGATTGTGATTGTAATTGGTATTTATGTATACCAATTGCTGCCAATTGCTCAAATCTATATTTATGAAAGTATAAAAAAGTTTCATAGAACTATTCAGTCTGTTACTTGAATTAAATGAGTGCCTCTTTTGTTATTTAACATGTTAATTAAAAACAATATATTTATGTAATAGATATATATATATATATATAAAGTAGAATGAAAGAATTCTAGTTATAATACTTAAGGGTTCAGAAATACTGAATATCAACCATTAAAGTTGTTACTTCTAACTTATAACAATTATTTTTCATATCTCCACGAAAGTGAAAAGCCACTGTCTAATACATAGAATATTCCTATGCAATTATATAAAAAAAATATTATCACTCAAAAAATTAAAATTAAAATATTAATAATAAAAATTATAGTAAATGTTATTACAATGCAACCACATCATGTTTTTAATGGTTAAACCTTTTTGTTCGATATTTACGTCAATAAATGGAATACATAAATAAATAATTAAATAATTAATACATAAAATAATACATAAAAATACATAAAAGTTATTATATGCCTGTGTTATATTGTTTGAACTGATTTAAAGGTTGGAGAGAGCATAAGTTAAGCCATCTATGTTTCATTTATCAAAGTTAAAAGACTGGTAATGGCCAAATATTTGCATTAATAAATAAATTTATATTCTATATAAGCGGACATATAATATTCGGGAAATGTGAAAAATATTTAATTTGAGTAAAAATAAAAAGAATCGCGAAAAAATGCTTATCATTTGAAAATTTGTTAGTGATAATAGGAAATACGTGTTTCCCGAATACTGATCGTTTCTAACGTGTCATACAAATATCATATATATTTATTTGATATTTAAAAAGTTATTATTTCTGGATTAATTGACAAAAAATTATGAGTTATGAATTTAAAAAATAATATTTGTAAATAAAATAAAATATTTAGGGATATTCTTTAAAATGGAATGATGAGTCCATCGCGGTATAACTTATCCTTATTTAAAACATATTTTGTTAAATTTCTTTATACTATAAAATAAAACCAATATTAAGCATGGAATGTTTAAAATTATCTTAAAATATTTATAATATTCGCTTTTAAATTTGTGCTTCATCTTAGCAAAATACTTCAATTATTTAGTTCTAAATATTTATACTAATGCTTCAGATATTTTTCGAGTTAATCGAAGCTTGAAACATTTTAATGATCAAGTATATTTGTACTCGGGCTTTTGGGTCGACTATAGCGAACCATCAAACATGTGTGAACATAATAAGGTGTTCGAGCAGTTGTTGTTATGGGTACGTGTATTAAACGGAACAAAAAAAAAAGATGAAAGATAAAACAGATTTGCTGTTCGAGCACAAATATTTTCGAACATTTGAAGTGTTGAATCCAAATGTTTGAATTCGAGTATTCTCGAACTCGAGCAGTTCGACGGTCGAACATGTTGAAGCACTAATTTGCACTGGATTTTCAGTGTTATATCGAACACAGTTTTTTTATTTTTGAAATAAATCGTTGTTTTTCAACGCGTGAAGGCATTTAAAAAATTTGCGCCACTCAAATCTAATTGAGCTTCGTATCCTTCATCGGCTGAAGAAGAATTAGTATTTGCAGATTTCAATTGTTCAATATCTAAAGTTGGTGGCTTGTCACCAGGTTTCCAGCGCCGATGTATTCCCATCGACTTCAATTTCTGACACACCGATGACGGTGATATGGCGAATCCTTTTTCTGCTAAGCGTGCTGAAACCTTCCAATATTGAATATTACTATCTTCTTTTATTAAATCTAAAATTTCGCGTGTAATTTCTTTGTCTCGCACTTCACGCTCAGCTGCTTTCAGACGTCTACGAGGATGAACAACTTTAGATGCTGCGTTTGTTAAGGATTGTTGTTGCTCTGGTAGATGTATTTTTTGCGGTAAGTGATTTTGTTGCTGAAGCTGTTGTTGTAGTTGTTGCTGTTTCTGAAGTTGCTGCAATTGCTGATGCTTTTGTTGCTCTAATTTTTGATGCAGCAAGTGTAGTTGTTGCTGTTTAATTTGCTCTTCATGTTGCAATAACAGATGTTGTTGTTGTTCAATTTGTTGCTGTTGTTGTTGGTTTTTATCAAAATGTCTTTGTGCACCTTTATCAGTAGACTCTTCAATGGTTTCGTGTTGTGCTACTTCGCGAATTTCTTTTTTATTTCGATAAGACAGTGGCACTCCTTTAACAATAGCATCTCGCACTTTCCATGCTGTCATTTGAGACACATTCAACGCGCGAGCGATTTCCATTGTGGAAGCGTTTTGAGCTACAAGCGTCTTAGCCATAGCATATTTTTCATCGTCAACAAACACGTTCGGCTTGCGCGGTTTTTTTGAGAAATTACATTTCTCAGTTACTCTAAAATAAAGTTAATACTTAAATATTTAATAATAATTCTGATAGTTACTTATGGTATATATTTACATTTCATTATTTTGCATTGTTGAAATGGGCCGAATTGAGAGATTTACGGGAAGTTGATGTCTAAAAAAATTAAATCAATAAATATTTATATTTGTTGTTAAAGCTTTTTAAAATTACATGACAGCAGTGACAGTAGACGGAAACTGGTTTGCCGCTGCTAATGGCGATATGACAACATTCTCCTCAATCCCATGGGATATCTCTTTCTGGTTCTCAGACATATTTTCAATTTTTAAATTTGCGGGCATATTTTGTATGATTCGGTGTTGTTTCTGTTGTTGCTGTTTTTGTTGTTCTAATTGCAAATGGGAATTATTAACCTTGTCTTTGATTTTAATCTCTTCTTCATCAGACTCAATTTCACTGTTATCTTCACTCTCATCAGGATCGTCTTTACCTTTATCTTTGATATACTCTTTGTTTTGTTGATGATATTTCTCATTTCTTTGATTAAAACTTTGATTGGAAACACTCTCTGCAATATCCTCCTCATCATCGTCATCAACTTCACGATCTTCGCGATCTTCATGTTCTTCACGATCTTCTTGGTCTTCATGTTCCTCAGATTCTTCATTATCACTTTCATTGTTTTCTGTTTTAATATCAATTTCAGTTTGATGAAATTCTGGAATCTGCATTTTTTGTTCGTTGTTTATTTGAAGTATTTCTGTGGCATCCTCTACATTTGGGTCAATGACGCGTTCATGAAGGCTTACACCATTCACAAGACTTTTTCGTAATCGCCAAGCAAATGTACGAGAAATATTTAGTTCGTTAGCAATCACTGTTGTGGTCGCTTCACGCAAAATTAACTGCTTTGCTAACGCAATCTTCTTAGCATCCAATTTGATGCGAGTACGCCCTTTACGTTTATTCCCAGCCATAATAACTCTGTTAAATAAATGTTTAAAAATATATTCAATTTCATTTGCATAATACTTACTTTCTGTTGTGTATATATATTGCATTT